GGGGGTTCTGAAATCAGGGCTCTGATTTCAGTGATCCTTCTAGCCGACGTAATTGCCACTAGGAAGGCAACGTTCCAGGAGCGAACAAGAAGCTCAAAGGGGACCTTGTGAGCCTGGACAGTACCAGATTTACATCCCCTGGGGGAAACCGGGTTGCGAACCTGTGGGTAGAGTATTTTTAAGTCCTTGAGGAACCTGTCATCTCATGCGAGAAAACTGACCTGCCCTGGACTGGAGGATGGAAGACTGAAATGGCCGCCAGGTGGACCTTGACCGACGATAGGGCCAGACCTTCATACTTCACGTGGAGCAAGTAGTCCAAGATGGTCTGCAGAAACGATAGACAGGGAAAGACCCCAATCAAAGGTCCAAGAAGTGAAGCGCTTCCCTTTGGCCAAGTAGATCGCTCTGATAGAGGATTTCCTGCTACTTAGCAAAACCTGCTAGACCTGCTCTGAGCAGGCTTGCTCCTCCTGGTTCAGCCACGCAGCAGCCAGGCTGTCAGGTGCAGGGACACGAGATTCGGGTGGAGTAGCTGGCCTCGGTTCTGTAAGCTCAAATCCAGGCACATAAGGAGCTCTACTGGAGCTACTATGGAAAGGTCCAGGAGCATCCTGAACCGTGCTGGCACGGCCACACCGGGGCAATCAGTATTACCTTTGCCTTGTTCCTCTTGATTTTTAAGAGGACCTTGTGTATCAACGGTATATGTGGAAAGGCATACAGCAGATCCCCTGACCACAGCCGTAGGAAGGCATCTGACAGGTAACCGTTGCCAAGCCCATGCATTGAGCAGAGCTGATTACCTCCGGATGGAGGGACCACTCATGGTGAGAAGAAAAGGACCTGCTGAGGTGATCTGCCAGCGTATTCTAGTCCCCTGGAAAATGCAATGCCTCGAGGTGAACAACACGTTGCATGCAGAAGTCCCACAATTGAAGAGCCTCTGGCACAGGGCCGAGCTCCCCCATTCTTGTTGACATAAAACATCACATACGTTTTGTCTGTCAGGACCTGCACTACTTTGCCTGACAGGTAGAGAAGGAACACCCGGCAGGCCAAGTGAATCATCCTGAGTTTCCTGACATTTATGTGCAGGGAGAGTTCTCTCCGTGACTAGAGGCCCTGGGTACTGTGACTGTTGAAGTGGGCTTCCCACCCCAGGTCTAATCCATCTGAGACTAATGTCACCAAAGGGCATGGGGTGGCAAAGGGAACCCTGGTCGTTATTGACTGTGGATCTGACCACCGAGTTAATGATGCTAGAAAAGCCAACGGGACTGTAATAACTAAGTCCAAATGGTGCCTGCTGAGGGAGTAGATTAACGCCAGCCCCATCTGAAGAGGTCTGAGGTGCAACTGTGTGTACTGCACCACGTAAGTGCATGCTGACATATGACCGAGCAGCCTGAGGCATACCCGAGCAGTCATGAGCGGGTGGGATCTGACGGGGGCAATTAGCTCCGACATTACTGGAACTGGGCTTCTGGCAGGTAGGCTTTGGCCTGAATAGAGTCGAGCACTGTTCCTATAAACTCTATCCTCTGAACTGGAAGCAGAGTGGATTTCTGCTAATTTATCAGCAGGTTCAGCTCTCGACAGGTGGCCTATACTTTGCTGACACAGCATTGAACCTGCGCTCATGAATGATCCTTGACTAACCAGTTGTTGAGGTAGGGATAGATATGTACACCTCGATGTCTTGGGTAAACTGCAACTACTGCCATACACTTTGTGAAAACCCTTGGGGATGACGCAAGTCTGAAAGGGAGTGTGGTGAATTGGTAGTGACACTGGCCCACCATGAATCATAGGAATCTCCTGTGACCATGGAAGATGGAGATGTGGAAATAAACATCCTTTAGTTCGAGTACCAGTCTCTCAGATCCAGGGAGGGAAAGATGGATGCCAGGGAGACCTGCACAATCTGAACTTCTTGAGATATTTGTTGAGTCAATGCAGGTCTAGGAAGGCCTGAGGACCCCTTTGGCCTTTGGGATTAGGAAATATCAGGAGTAGAACCCCTTTCCCGGTCAAGTCTCGAGCAACTTCCTCTATGCCCCCCACACGTAGGAGGGTTTCTACCTCCTGGATGAGGAGATGCTCATGAGAAGGGTCCCAGAATAGGGACAGGTATGGGGGTTGGGAGGGAGGAATGGATAAAACTGCAGGGTGTACCCAACTGTCACAGTGGAAAGCACCCAATGGTCTGAAGTTATTTGGGGGACACAGTATAGAATGGAAATAAATGGTCCAAAAACAAAAGGGGGATAGTGGATCCTGGGTTAAGTCCATTACACTGTCCTTGGGTGCACTCTCAAAAGGCCTGTCTCGGACCAGCCAGGTATTGGCCCAAGCCTGACTGGCAGACCAAGGTAGAAGATACAGGCTGGCTGCGCTTATAACCCTTCCCTTTTTTCTTGTAGGGCTCGTGTCTAAAAGGCCCCCAAAACCTTCGATGTGGCTGCGGCCGGAAGTGCCTTGTGGAGGCTGGGGGCGTGTAAAGGCCCGGAGATCGCAGCGTGGCCCTTGAGTCCTTCAGGCTGTGCAGCTTGGTGTTCATCTGCTCCAAGAACAATGCATTGCCCTTGAAAGGTAGGTCTTGGACCAACTGCTGCACCTTGTGAAAAAGGCCCGAGGACTACAGATGTGAGCTGCACTGCATGGACACCGCCGAGACCATCAACCTGGCCACCGAGTCAGCCACAACCAAGGCAGCCTAAAGAGAGGCCTTGGCTACTGCCTTGCCTTCCTCCAGAATGGCCAGGAATTCTTGCCTTGACTCCTGAGGCAGGGAGTCTTTGAACTTGGCCATAGAGTCCCAAATGTTATAATTGTATCTCCCCAGCAGTGCCTGCTGGTTGGAGATCTGGAGGTGTAGGCTAGCTGTTGAATATACCTTTCTGCCAAACAAGTCAAGCCTCTCTGCATTCTTATTTTTAGACCTGACACTTGCCTGACCCTGTCTGTCCCGCTCATTTGCGGTGGAAACCACCAGGGACCCAGGGGGAGGGCGCAAGTACGTGTATTCATACCCCTTAGCCAGAACATATTTTTTCTCTGCCCTTTTCGAAGTTGGGGGCAGAGAAGACGGGGGTCTGCCACAGTGCTTTAACAAGTTTTAACACCCAACATAGACTGGCAGTGCAACCTTAGAGGGGGCTGCTGCAGCTAAAATATCAAAGAGGATGTCCATGGTCTCCTTCAGTTCCTCTGCCTCTAGCCCCAAATTTGTGGCGACCCGTTTAAGGAGATCTTGGTGATCCTGGAAGTCGTCCAGTGGCAGAGGGTGGGACCCACAACTGCCTAATCTGGGGATGAGGAAGATGCCAACACCACAGGAGGAGCCGGAAAGTCCTCCGCTACTGGGGTCACCTCCACTGAAGCTGCCGCTGGGGCCTCAGTATTGGGGTTGAAGTCCGAATCGGGTCCTGTACTGGCTGGGGTGTTGCCGAGACTCGCTTCTCAGATGCGGCTGTGGATGACAGATGGGAGTAGGGGCCTGGCATTGGAAGGAACCCCCCAGGGGTTCCAATATTGCCAGTGTACTGGCCATTGCCCCGGTGGCCAAGTGCCCACAGCAGGAACAGCACTAAAGTCCTGTGTGTAAGAAGAGTGGTGTCTCCTTGGTGGGGGAATGGATTCCTCTCTGGTCTCCAATGAGTATTCTTCCCTTGGGAGACCATGGTGGAGCTGTTGCTGTTCCCACCTGCTGGATATGATGTGGAGTCAGGGAATGGTGCCTGGAGGACGGAGACCAGTGCCATGCTTCCAGTGACTGGTGCCACGAAGCTGGTGACCTAAGCTGCGGAGCTGGAGACCGGTGCTGGGACGCTGGGGACTGGTGTTGGGTTGGCGACCACTGCAGCAGATCCATGGGGGGGGTTTCCCTCTGGAGGGAGCAGTCTTCAATGAAGAGTGGTCTCATAGTCTGTGCAGTACTGGGAGGGGCATCAGGTTCTCTGCTTCCTGTAATGCCTCCGGTGTCAAAGGGGCTCTCAAGCGTAAGGTGCCCCAATTGCTCCCAGGAGTCAGTAGTGGATCCCTGATTGGGCTCAACTGCCATCAACCGTAGCTCTGGGGAGGACGAGTGGCTCAGCAGGGGTCTCACCTTATCAGCCTCTCCCCTCTTATCCTTTTTTGACACAGGGCAGTGCCCTCTTTCAGCGCACAGTTTCTTGTGCCACTTCCTCGGCACTGAAGATGGTGAACAGTGCCAAGCAGACCATGGTGCTGGGGGAGCACTCCGTACTGAGGCTGAAGTGCTCGGCGCTGAATCAGAGTGGGACAGCTCCAAGGTCAGTCTGAGCGCTGCTTCCATTAGCAGGGCCTTCAGATGAATGTCCCTGTCCTTTTGTGTGCGTGGCCTGAAGCCCCTGCAGATCGTGCACCTGTCTTTAATGTGGGCTTTCTGGAGGCACTTTAAGTAGCTCACTTGCAGGTCACTCACTGGCATGGGCTTATGGCAGGTGGCACCCGGTTTGAAACATGGGGACCGGGGCATGCCCTGTCCCTGGGACAACATCCTGCAATGGGACCACTATCTACTCTAACTTAACTAACTGCTAACAATTAAGTCCTAACTATATACAAGAATAACAGAGTTCAAAAACCACTAGGAGAACTTGCAAGCACAAGAGAAGTCATTTCAGCAACTGTCACGGGTGATAAGAAGGAACTGAAGGGGTGTGGGGCCAGCAGTGCTCCTTATACTGGCGCATGAGCATGGAGCTCCAGGGAGCGCTAGGGCTGGCCCTATGGATACCACTAAGGGAAAAATATCTGGCAACTGTGCACATGGGCGCGCACACACCTAACATGGAGTTGACACGAGCACTCGAAGAACCACCACTTTTGTCTCTTGCGACTCTGACACTCCCAAAAGAATTGATAGTTTTAAATTTTATTTAAAAATATAGAGACACATAAAATAAAAGTATTTACTCAAGAGGTTTGTACTTCTGTAAGGTATAACAGGGAAAATAAAATTGCAAAAATACCTGTTCTAAAATCTGTTAGAAAAGGAAGAGACTCCACATTCTGATTACAATGCTTCAGGACTTGATCTAGACTCTCAGATTCCAAATCCCAGCTGACACCACTATCTTCTGTGTCGCTCTCCTGGTTAAGGCCCTCTGCTGATTCAAGGCAAATGTACATCTAAAAAAACCAAGGGTTTTTATAAAAGACAAAGATTACAGCTTTCACAGATACATCAGAATTAACTGCCAGGTGTAATAAGTGATCAAGGGATATTTAAGAGGATAATGGTTTTTATCCTGGAAAGATTTGTCACTAAGAAACACTGCCCCTCCCCCCAATTCTTCTTTCCTCCACACCTTAAGATTAGTTTTACATTTTACTACTCAGGGTTTAGTTCAAGGCAACCAGTTACTATTTATTAATGCCACACCTGGTAACCATGGTAACACAAGCCCGGCATATATGAAAGTGTGCAGGTGTTAGACTTCCACAGAGGCTTGGTCTAATTCAGGATTCCCTCCCACTCCTTTGGATTTGCCACTATGAAATTCATGGAAAAACAACTTCTAAAACAGCTGATCTCTCTTGTGAAGTATGAAAACATTCTATTTCATCTAAATTTTATTTTTCATGTGGCCAATTAGTATAAATGTGTGTATCAGTATAAATAAGCAAATAATTGTTATATATAGAGTTAAAACTTTCATTAATATACAAAGCTATGGTCTGCATCAAATCTCCAGTCACAGGCGTATGGAGGGCATGCATACCCATGTTGTAGAATATAGACAGGGGCCAGCATTTGAACAAGAACTCACCATTACCATCCACCCCTGATTAAAAAAGATTCTAATTACAATGTACTGTTATTTTTCTAATCACTGTAATGTATTTCATGCTGATGTTGCATATACATAACTGCTGCCCAAAATTGGAGGAATCTGAGTAGAGTTTCTAGCAGTGGCTTTACAATGGAATATTTATCCTGATCAAAAGCATATAGAAGTTCAGCTTATTCATGGACAAGGAACCAAAAGCATTTGTTAGATAATTAAATTGAGAACATATATTCTATTTTAGTTCTTAAACTGGAAGCCCATCACTAAGGTATCTAAGCACCTTATCATCACATTCTAAATTCAGTCTTATATTTTAACAGCATTAGCTCTACCAAGAAACTTCCATGGGTTCATGTAGAAAGCTAGAGCAGTATACAAAAAAAGTCATTAAAAGAGAGTAACAAAGAGCCACTGATCGATCTATAGATTAATAGCTTAGTGTAAATCAATCCCCCCGTCAGATTTTATGACCTAACCAGCTTCTCACTGGTCTGTGGTTTGGGGTCTGATCCAAAACTCACTGAAGTGTGTGGGAGTCTTTCCTTTGATTACAATGGGCATAAGATTAGGCCCTTGTCCAGAAGGGGCAGTACCAGGTAGCAGCAGTGTGGACTGAGAGAAAAAACAATGCTGAATAGGAGGCCAACAAAAAATAATTGGTAATATACTAAAAGCCCACAAAACAGAACATTGTGGCATGAGAATGTTTCATCACTTCAATACAAGAAGGAAAATACAGGAGAGGAAATCAGTATGCTGCCGCAATGATCAAATCCAATTCCTTATTGTCTATTACACCAAATGAATAATAAAAAAATCAGACTGTTTTTAAAAAAAAACAAGAGGTCCCATGGTCCAGATACATTTCTGAGGGAAAATCTGTGAGTGCAAGTCTCTTTCTTCTCTTACACCTCTGTATTTCATGCAGAACATAGGGCTTTCAACACCACCTTCCATCTTTACTGGTCTCCTGGGCAGTCTTTGCTTCTTTCCACATTATTCAGATAGAACCACAACAGAAGCAGAATTGAAACCTAACTCACTGCCTCTTGCCCTGGCGGTTCCAGTTCAATGCCTATCTTGTTACATTATTGGGTCTTTCCTCTGTGAATGTCCTAGCCATCTCCATTTTTGTTCTGTAATTTCCAGTTCTACTGGCTCCTGTTTTATCCTCCTTCAGGCGTTTGTTGCTTGTGATTTTTTCTAATATTGAGGATTTAGCTGTTGATGAAGATTTAGAGTTTAGATAGTAAAGTCTTCATAAGTCTCCAAGTTTCAGCACCATGTAGCAAGATCGACTTTACAATGGTTAAATATTTGAAGTTTAGTTGGAGGGCAAGATTTCTATTTCTCCAGATCGACTGTAGAGTTACAAAAGCACATTTTGCTTTCACTATTCTGGTTTAATGTCTTCCGCTGTTCCATCTGTTGTACTTAAAATGCTGACAAGGTATGTGATATATCCGATTTCATCTAGGTCAGCCCCAGAAAATGCAACTGGTGTTTCTTGTTGTGTGTTGATTCTAATGGTTTTAAGTTTTTACAGTGTTGATTTTCAATCCTACTGCTTGTGGATAGGCCTGTAAATAATTTGTTTTATCTTTCATGTCTCCATGGGAATGGGATAGCAAGTTGATGTCATCTGCAAAGTCAAGGTCCTCTAACTTCTGGGTCAAAGTTCACTGTATGTCCCTTATTACTCAATCCCCATATTACTCAATCCACCACCAGTAAAAAGATCAAGGGTGACATAAGACATCCTGGGTTGATGCCCATAGTAACCTCAGTTCACTGTTATGCATTACTTCACATGTCATATTTTCAGAGAAGCTCTGAAATTTCGGAGGGATTCCATTGTGACAGCAATTTCCATAAACTGTTCTACCCACTGTATTAAATGCTTTTTGGAAATCTACCAATTCATATAAAGCTTTGACTTCCATTAGATCACAAGTTCTATGATACTATATAGGATTATTATTTGATCCATACATGATTTCTCATGTTTGAACCCTGCCTATTCTTGTTGTTACCTTGAATCTATCACTTTCTTTATTCTTTATAATGTATAATTATCTTACTTGGGACATTCTTCCTGATAACTGTTTAATGATGTTGCACAGTGTCTTCGTGTCACTTTGTGCTGCAGCAGTTTGTGCATCTCTTGCCATTTCGTCTACAAAGTTTAATTTGTCTTTCCTACCACTATTTTGGCCTCTGTTCTTTACTGCATATTCCTCCTGGAGTCAGTGTATCTGTGTTTTTGTTTCAGTTTAATTTTGCATCTTTCCTCTCATATAACCTTTCATTGTGATGTTTCTTCCTGAATCCCAGCATTTCTTTACAAGTTTTAGTGAAAGTATCCTTTACCTGTTTCCATTTGCCTTCTATTGTCTCATCATCTTCAAGCACCTGGTATCTATTTGCTAGAGCAATTATAAACTCTTGCTGCATTTTAGTTGGGTGACATTATAATGTGGTGTCTCTGCTGTTCAGACCTATTCTTTGTTTTTATTTTTATTTTCAATTTAGTTAGTGTGTGGTCCATTCTCACACCTGCTACCTACATCTTTTAAAGTTCTTTTACATTTGTGCAGAATTGTAATGTGGTTTGGTTCCTTGTTTTGTTGGTATAATGTAATTTGTTTTTCTGTTCTGTGATCTGCTGACCTCCAAGTTATTTTATGAACAGTATGGTGAGGGAAGATGGTTCCTCCAATGACCAGGTCAATCATTCCACAAAAATCAGCAAACATTTCATCATTTTCATTCATTTCACCAAGGTCTTGTTTCCCCATATTTACTTCCCTGCCAGTGTTGTTGCTCCCTACTTTAGCATTAATTTCTCCAGTTACTAGGACGACACCTCTTTTGGGGATTTTATCTATTTTGTTATGTAGCTGCTTGTACAAAGTGGTTGGTTTTTTTTTTTGTTTTTTTTTTACTCTTGGTTAGTTTGATTTGTTGGAGAATAACATTGAACAACAGACACTTTCTGGAATTTTGATGAAAATTGTACTATTCTAATCCTTTTTGAAACTGGTACCCATTCTATCAGGCTTTTGGTTGCCCCCCCCCCACGATTTTATCAGACCCACACCACCACTGTGTATGTCACTGGCATTCAGTAATCCAGAATATAGTAGGATGTGTCCAGCTGACAAGGTGATTTGTCCTGATGTAACTCATCTCATTTCACTTAGGCCAAGTACATCTAATTTATATCTCCCCATTTCTTTTGTTACTTTGACTGTTTTACCAGCCTCGTGTTAGTGTCCACACATTCCACATACCAATTTTGGTAATGGATTTTGGAGAGAGCAAATTCATCAGTAGAGTAGCTTCCTTGGGGTTTGGCAACTTCATGTTTTCATCTCTCTTCTACGTCTATTTGAATTAAGTTGGATTGAGTTTGTTGAACAGAGCAGTACTATAGGTTTCTGTAATGACTTTGTTTTACACAGAAGTAGGTTGTTAGCCCACTCTTAACCCCCTACCAGGTGGGCTAATGGATTGCCTTAGTCTGGCTCCTACTCTTTGACCTGTCTGGCATGGGTGATCCTACTAAGATAAATACTCCTGCCAGCATAGCTTGTGTGTGCAAGGAGGCACCTGCTTTTAAAAGGTCATGTCTATAAGGTGAACATGACATTGAGAATATTTTTTTTAAAGAATAGAGACAAGATTGTTTATTTCTCAAACACTCTTGCCACCCAAATATTTGAACCACTATATAAATATCTGACATGCTGTAATTTAATTAACTGATACAGATTTAAATTATCAATAACTGATAACCAAAATGCTTGTATGCTGACACTGATATATTTCCATGATAGTGTTCACAAGACTGGAAAGAGGCAGTCATATCCTGTAACCGTTATTAAACAAACATTTATAACATATACCTTATTAGGTGACACAAGGTGCTTAACACTAACAGGAAAAAGTTCTCCTGGAATAGGTAGTGTTAGCATTGTATATGGTGGCAAAACAGGAGCCCCTGCTTCGGATAACAGCAACTCCTAGAACAAGATAGGATTTAGTTAGGTTTCACATTTTGGTAACTAATTGCAAGTTTGCCCTTTTATGACTTCTGATTAACTACAGAAGAGTTATTTGTATAGACTAAAATAAGGTAAACAAGACATCCCTGATGACAAAGAAAAATCAAATCAAATACAAATTTTCCTTGGTTCCATTTTTCTTATTGTCCATTTTTAAGCAAATAAATAGGTTAGAGAACTAATTCAGTCAATGCACAAATTTTGTTTAAGGAGGATGTAAATATGTAAAGAAAAGCTATTCAGAGGTACTCCTAAACAGTTGAAATATTAAAAAATAAAATGATGTCACTACTTTGACAAGGTTCCTCACCAAAGGCTCTTAAAGCAAAGTAAGCAGTAATGGGTAAGAGAGAAGGTTCTCTCATGGATCAGTAATTGGTTAAAAGACAGGAAACAAAGGGTAGCAGTAAATGGTCAGTTTTCAGAATGGAGAGAGGTAAACAGTGGTGTCTCCCAGGGATCTGTACTGGGACCAGTGCTGTTCAACATATTCATAAATGATCTAGAAAAAGGAGTAAACAGTGAGGTGGCAAAGTTTGCAGATGATACAAAATTACTCAAGATAGTTAAGTTCAAAGCTGACTGCGAAGAGTTACAAAGAGATCCCACAAAACTCGGTGAATGTGAAACAAAATGGCAAATGAAATTCAATGTTGATAAATGCAAAGTAATGCATATTGGAAAACAATCACAACTATACATCTAAAATGATGTGGTCTAAATGAGCTGTTGCCACACAAAGATTTTGGAGTCATTGTTGTTAGTTCTCTGAAAACACCTGCTCAATGTGCAGCTGCTAGCAAAAACGCTAACAGAGTATTAGGAACCATTAGGAAAGGGGTAGATAATAAAACAGTAAATATCATAATGCCACTATTTAAATCCATAGTATGCCCACACCTTGAATACTGTGTGCAGTTCTGGTCACCCTATCTCAAAAAAGATAATATAAGAATTGGAATAGGTACAGAAAAGGGCAACAAAAATGATTAAGGGTATGGAACAGCTTCCATATGAGAGTAGATTTAAAAAAAGGCTGGGATTATTCAGCTTGGAAAAAAGACTACTATGTTTTAGTCCTAGGCAGTAAACAAAAATTCACGGCCCATGACCTGTCCATGACTTTTACTATATACCCCTGACTAAAACTTGGAGGGGGGGGGCAGCTAGGGGGCACCACGGGTGCTCGGGGGGGGGGGGG